AAATCCCTTCTTGCATTGCTCTCCTCGCCTGTCAAGCCACAGCTAGTCGACAAGTGTCAATTTCATGCTTTAACTGGCTTTCATGTGACATGTTAAGTGATTTTTATGCTTTCATGATTGTTGTCGTCATTTGATTCTCTTGCTGGCGCACTCACTCGTAGGATGCTGGTAATGGGGATGGTACTGCTGTTGCTGACGTTGATGATGACGACATTTTTTCTGCTTACAAAAAGGATAATAGTTTTGTGTTTAGACATCTTTGAGGTATTGTGGAGAGGCATCAGTGGGGGTTTGGTGAAAGAATTTTATCTGCTGATAAAAAAAATAAACTAAATTCTAGGTCGAGGATTACATTTAATGAAATAGGTTTAAGAGGGTGATGAGACCAAAATAATCCAGAAGGGATTTTTTTCTGTTGACAAAGAGGATTTACTAAGGATTAGTGAAGTGAATAGGTTTAGAGCTTAAAAAAAATATTCTTCAAAAAATCCTTGAAAAAAAATTAAAAAATCCACGCCTTGGATAGAATTTGAAAAAAAAATATTCTTCAAAAAATCCTTGAAAAAATATTTAAAAAATCCACGCCTTGGATAGAATTTGAAAAAATATTCTTCAAAAAATCCTTGAAAAAATATTTAAAAAATCCACGCCTTGGATAGAATTTGAAAAAATATTCTTCAAAAAATCTTGAAATATTCTTTAAAAAATCCACGCCTTGGATAGACTTTGAAAAAATATTCTTTAAAAAATCCACGCCTTGGATAGACTTTGAAAAAATATTCTTTAAAAAATCCACGCCTTGGATAGACTTTGAAAAAATATTCTTTAAAAAATCCACGCCTTGGATAGACTTTGAAAAAATATTCTTTAAAAAATCCACGCCTTGGATAGACTTTGAAAAAATATTCTTTAAAAAATCCACGCCTTGGATAGACTTTGAAAAAATATTCTTTAAAAAATCCACGCCTTGGATAGACTTTGAAAAAATATTCTTTAAAAAATCCACGCCTTGGATAGACTTTGAAAAAATATTCTTTAAAAAATCCACGCCTTGGATAGACTTTGAAAAAATATTCTTTAAAAAATCCACGCCTTGGATAGACTTTGAAAAAATATTCTTTAAAAAATCCACGCCTTGGATAGACTTTGAAAAAATATTCTTTAAAAAATCCACGCCTTGGATAGACTTTGAAAAAATATTCTTTAAAAAATCCACGCCTTGGATAGACTTTGAAAAAATATTCTTTAAAAAATCCACGCCTTGGATAGACTTTGAAAAAATATTCTTTAAAAAATCCACGCCTTGGATAGACTTTGAAAAAATATTCTTTAAAAAATCCACGCCTTGGATAGACTTTGAAAAAATATTCTTTAAAAAATCCACGCCTTGGATAGACTTTGAAAAAATATTCTTTAAAAAATCCACGCCTTGGATAGACTTTGAAAAAATATTCTTTAAAAAATCCACGCCTTGGATAGACTTTGAAAAAATATTCTTTAAAAAATCCACGCCTTGGATAGACTTTGAAAAAATATTCTTTAAAAAATCCACGCCTTGGATAGACTTTGAAAAAATATTCTTTAAAAAATCCACGCCTTGGATAGACTTTGAAAAAATATTCTTTAAAAAATCCACGCCTTGGATAGACTTTGAAAAAATATTCTTTAAAAAATCCACGCCTTGGATAGACTTTGAAAAAATATTCTTTAAAAAATCCACGCCTTGGATAGACTTTGAAAAAATATTCTTTAAAAAATCCACGCCTTGGATAGACTTTGAAAAAATATTCTTTAAAAAATCCACGCCTTGGATAGACTTTGAAAAAATATTCTTTAAAAAATCCACGCCTTGGATAGACTTTGAAAAAATATTCTTTAAAAAATCCACGCCTTGGATAGACTTTGAAAAAATATTCTTTAAAAAATCCACGCCTTGGATAGACTTTGAAAAAATATTCTTTAAAAAATCCACGCCTTGGATAGACTTTGAAAAAATATTCTTTAAAAAATCCACGCCTTGGATAGACTTTGAAAAAATATTCTTTAAAAAATCCACGCCTTGGATAGACTTTGAAAAAATATTCTTTAAAAAATCCACGCCTTGGATAGACTTTGAAAAAATATTCTTTAAAAAATCCACGCCTTGGATAGACTTTGAAAAAATATTCTTTAAAAAATCCACGCCTTGGATAGACTTTGAAAAAATATTCTTTAAAAAATCCACGCCTTGGATAGACTTTGAAAAAATATTCTTTAAAAAATCCACGCCTTGGATAGACTTTGAAAAAATATTCTTTAAAAAATCCACGCCTTGGATAGACTTTGAAAAAATATTCTTTAAAAAATCCACGCCTTGGATAGACTTTGAAAAAATATTCTTTAAAAAATCCACGCCTTGGATAGACTTTGAAAAAATATTCTTTAAAAAATCCACGCCTTGGATAGACTTTGAAAAAATATTCTTTAAAAAATCCACGCCTTGGATAGACTTTGAAAAAATATTCTTTAAAAAATCCACGCCTTGGATAGACTTTGAAAAAATATTCTTTAAAAAATCCACGCCTTGGATAGACTTTGAAAAAATATTCTTTAAAAAATCCACGCCTTGGATAGACTTTGAAAAAATATTCTTTAAAAAATCCACGCCTTGGATAGACTTTGAAAAAATATTCTTTAAAAAATCCACGCCTTGGATAGACTTTGAAAAAATATTCTTTAAAAAATCCACGCCTTGGATAGACTTTGAAAAAATATTCTTTAAAAAATCCACGCCTTGGATAGACTTTGAAAAAATATTCTTTAAAAAATCCACGCCTTGGATAGACTTTGAAAAAATATTCTTTAAAAAATCCACGCCTTGGATAGACTTTGAAAAAATATTCTTTAAAAAATCCACGCCTTGGATAGACTTTGAAAAAATATTCTTTAAAAAATCCACGCCTTGGATAGACTTTGAAAAAATATTCTTTAAAAAATCCACGCCTTGGATAGACTTTGAAAAAATATTCTTTAAAAAATCCACGCCTTGGATAGACTTTGAAAAAATATTCTTTAAAAAATCCACGCCTTGGATAGACTTTGAAAAAATATTCTTTAAAAAATCCACGCCTTGGATAGACTTTGAAAAAATATTCTTTAAAAAATCCACGCCTTGGATAGACTTTGAAAAAATATTCTTTAAAAAATCCACGCCTTGGATAGACTTTGAAAAAATATTCTTTAAAAAATCCACGCCTTGGATAGACTTTGAAAAAATATTCTTTAAAAAATCCACGCCTTGGATAGACTTTGAAAAAATATTCTTTAAAAAATCCACGCCTTGGATAGACTTTGAAAAAATATTCTTTAAAAAATCCACGCCTTGGATAGACTTTGAAAAAATATTCTTTAAAAAATCCACGCCTTGGATAGACTTTGAAAAAATATTCTTTAAAAAATCCACGCCTTGGATAGACTTTGAAAAAATATTCTTTAAAAAATCCACGCCTTGGATAGACTTTGAAAAAATATTCTTTAAAAAATCCACGCCTTGGATAGACTTTGAAAAAATATTCTTTAAAAAATCCACGCCTTGGATAGACTTTGAAAAAATATTCTTTAAAAAATCCACGCCTTGGATAGACTTTGAAAAAATATTCTTTAAAAAATCCACGCCTTGGATAGACTTTGAAAAAATATTCTTTAAAAAATCCACGCCTTGGATAGACTTTGAAAAAATATTCTTTAAAAAATCCACGCCTTGGATAGACTTTGAAAAAATATTCTTTAAAAAATCCACGCCTTGGATAGACTTTGAAAAAATATTCTTTAAAAAATCCACGCCTTGGATAGACTTTGAAAAAATATTCTTTAAAAAATCCACGCCTTGGATAGACTTTGAAAAAATATTCTTTAAAAAATCCACGCCTTGGATAGACTTTGAAAAAATATTCTTTAAAAAATCCACGCCTTGGATAGACTTTGAAAAAATATTCTTTAAAAAATCCACGCCTTGGATAGACTTTGAAAAAATATTCTTTAAAAAATCCACGCCTTGGATAGACTTTGAAAAAATATTCTTTAAAAAATCCACGCCTTGGATAGACTTTGAAAAAATATTCTTTAAAAAATCCACGCCTTGGATAGACTTTGAAAAAATATTCTTTAAAAAATCCACGCCTTGGATAGACTTTGAAAAAATATTCTTTAAAAAATCCACGCCTTGGATAGACTTTGAAAAAATATTCTTTAAAAAATCCACGCCTTGGATAGACTTTGAAAAAATATTCTTTAAAAAATCCACGCCTTGGATAGACTTTGAAAAAATATTCTTTAAAAAATCCACGCCTTGGATAGACTTTGAAAAAATATTCTTTAAAAAATCCACGCCTTGGATAGACTTTGAAAAAATATTCTTTAAAAAATCCACGCCTTGGATAGACTTTGAAAAAATATTCTTTAAAAAATCCACGCCTTGGATAGACTTTGAAAAAATATTCTTTAAAAAATCCACGCCTTGGATAGACTTTGAAAAAATATTCTTTAAAAAATCCACGCCTTGGATAGACTTTGAAAAAATATTCTTTAAAAAATCCACGCCTTGGATAGACTTTGAAAAAATATTCTTTAAAAAATCCACGCCTTGGATAGACTTTGAAAAAATATTCTTTAAAAAATCCACGCCTTGGATAGACTTTGAAAAAATATTCTTTAAAAAATCCACGCCTTGGATAGACTTTGAAAAAATATTCTTTAAAAAATCCACGCCTTGGATGGTCGTTGAAAAAAATATTCTTTAAAAAATCCACGCCTTGGATGGTCGTTGAAAAAATATTCTTAAGAAAAGTTCACGCTCTGGAATCCTATTATTTTCCTTTTGTTTAAATCCACGTTCTGATATTCTTTAAAATCCAATCTTTTTACACTTTTAAAATATATTTTATACTAGTATTTAATTTTGAAATTGTTGGCATCTCTTCTCAATTCTATTTATTGTTACACTTTTCACCTTCGAAACTTACTTTTCTTTTTGCGTAACTTTTTCATTTTTTCATAATTTTTCTTAAAGAAATTCTTTGGTTTTGCCATAATTTTTTTATAAATTATTTTTAATATTTTTCAATTTCAATTTTTTTAATAATGACTTTCTTGTTTTTTTCTTATATTTTATTAATTATTTCACAAATTAAATATTTTTTGTAAATTTTATTGCCTAATGCACTTATTGCTGCGTTCGAGTTTTAAACGATATCGCGACGCACGTAATAATGACAAATTGCCAATTAAACAAATACGCTATGAGCTATTGAACAAAAATTTTTATTTTAAACTCCCACAATTGAGTGTAAACGATCGACAGGCAGACAGACACTCGAATAAAACAATGGCACTCACACGTCTTCCGACTAGGTGCTACCGGGGAATAACTACTGACAACAAACGGATCGTTGACAAAAGGTGGTATGGCGGTCTCATCGAATGTAAATCGTTAAATTGTTTTTGTTGTTTTACCTATTATTGCTATTTTATCCAGAGCTTTAAAAGTAGATACCCTAGAGTTGGTCGAAGAAGACAAAATTTTTACGAAATATAAACTCTATGATAGTACGAAAAATAATCTTAAAAAAAGTTTGTTAAAAAAATCCACGTTCTATCAAAAAATGCACGCTCCAAAAGCCGTTAAAATATTTTATTCTTTAATATTTTATTAAACAAAAACTGTCTAAAAGTCATTGAAAAAAAAAAACAATATTCTTCAAAAATCAATTCATTATAAATTAAAAAAAATTAAAAAGACTAAGTTCAACACTTATTTGCAATACTGCAACGAGTAATGTTGAAAAGTGTGGGTAAAACTTGCAATCGTTATTCAGGGGATATACCAAAAAAATGAAAAAAAAAGATTAGAGTATTAAATTTCAGTAGCTTCATACCGTCCTATTTTGGTATTTATAGTGACTGTCCGAATTCATATTAGGCCCCTTGACAAAATGTGATGTTTAACGCCGTTTTTGAATTCCTGCATAGTTTGTAGGTCCATTGCACTACTTGATTAGTTTGTGCAAACTTTGTTTAAATTGGATAACACGTTCGATGTTGTATGGGAAGTGAAATCTTTGAACAAATCGTTTTAAAATCGACTCCAAATAGTGTGAAACGGATTTGGTCCAAAAAAAGCATGGGTCTAAAATCGATATTTCGATGAGACACATTTTTAAAGATCATAGTTGCTATTCCTCCTTTATGTCATGTATCTATTTCCTAAAGATGTAATCCCGAAAAATATCGAAACAAATGTAAAAAATTTTCATCCCACATTATCCTAGCTACCTCATTATCTATAAGGCTGATGTAAAAAAACGACTCGTTTGAAAGCAGACATATGCTGGCCGCTCCAGCACTTTTCTAGCCGAGGACAATGACAATGACTTCAAAATTGCGATTTCATGAAAAAAGCATTTCAATTCTCTGCACGCATTATATGGGGTCTGGGCCTAAATGCGAAACGATATAGTTCATTCTCGAACCTGGCATTCTAGTTTTTTATCTCGAAATCCTCAGCAGGTAGAATGAAAACAAAAAAAGTCTAAGAACCAAACCCAAAACGCGAAAACAAATCAGATA